TCCATACCATAGTGTTTTTCATAGTTCTGCACCAGTTTACATTCCCTCCAGCAGAGTGCAAGGGATCACTGTTCTCCACATCCTCACCAACATTTGTTATTTCTTGTCCTTTTTATAGTAGTTATTCAAACGTGTATGAAGTGATATCTCATTGTGGTTTTGATTTGCATTTACTTGATGGTTAGTGATGTTGAGTACCTTTTCATGTACCTATTGTCTGTTTGGGTGTCTTTGGAAATGATGATTCAGATCCTTTACCTATTTTTGTAATTGGAATGTTTGTATTTTTAGCTATTGAGTTGAATGTGTCCTTTATATAGTTTGGCTATTAACCTCTTATCGGATATATGATTTTCAAACATGTTCTCCCAGTTCTGTGGTTGTTATTTCACTTTTTTGATGGTACCACATTCAGCATAAAATTTTTTTAAAATTTTAATACAGTTCAATTAATTTTTCTTTTGTTGCTTTTACTTCTGATTTTATAACTTGGACGACTTTGCCTTACCTAAGTTTAAAAACATTTACTTCTATGTATGGTTTATTTTTTAAAGAATTTTAAGTTTTAGCTTCTACATTTAGGTCTATGGTTCATTTTGACTTAATTTTTATGTATGGTGTGAGGTCGGGATTCCATGTCATTCTTTTGCATGTGGGTATCCAGTTGTTCCAGTACCATTTGTTGAAAAGACTATTTTTTCCCTGCTGTATTGTTTTGACACTCCTATTTAAAATGAATTGAAAAATGAGTGTAAGGGTTTATTTCTGGAATCTCAATTCTATCCCATTGATCTATATATCTGTTCTCATGCCCAGTACCATGTTGTCTATTATGTAAGATTTATAGTAAGTTTTGAAGTCAAGAAGTATGAGACTTCCAAATTTCTTCTTTTAAAATATTATTTTGGCTATTCTAAGTAACTTGCATTTATATATAAACTTTGACTTGTCAATTTCTGCAAAAAACTAGCCAGAATTTTTAAATGGGGATTACACTGAATTTGTAAATAAGTTTTTGGAATATTACCATCTTAACAATATCAAGCCTCTGCTCTGTGAGCATAGGCCATTTTTCTATGTATTTGGGTCATCAGAAGTTTTTATAATAATGTTTTGTAGCTTTCAATGTATGAGGCTTGCACTTCTTTTTTAACTTTTTGTCTAAATTTATGTTTTGTATTCTAATTTTTAGATGCCATTGTAAATGAAATGATTTTCCAAATTCATTTTTGGGTTTTTTATTGCTAATGAACAGAAATGCAATTGATTTTTATATATTACTTATGAACCTCAAATTTGCTGAACTCACTTATTAATTCTAACAGTTATTTGGTGGATTCCACAGAGTTTTCTATATACCGGATCATGTCATATACAAATAAAGATAGTTTTTTCTTCCTTCTTTTCAATCTAGGTGAACTTTCTTTGTTTCTTTCTTTCCTTCCTTCCTTCCTCCTTTACTTTTCCTTTTTATTTCTTTTTCTCTTTCTCTTTCCCTTTCCCTTTTTCTTTTTCTTTTTCTTTTCCTTTTCCTTTTCCTTTTCCTTTTCCTTTTCCTTTTCCTTTTTCTTTCTTTTGCCTAATTGTACCTCCAGTAAAATATTAAATAGCAGTGGCTAGAGCAGACATTCTTGTTTTGCCCCTATTCATAGTGGGAAAGCATTCAATCTTTCATTATTAAATATTGGTCATGGGGTTTTTATAGATGCCCTTTATCATGAGAAAATTTCTTTCTAGTTTATTAAGAGTTTTTCTCAGGAAAGTATATTGGTTTTTGTCAAATGCTTTTTCTGCATCTATTGACGTAATCGTATGCTTTTTGTCCATTCTTCTTTTTTTTTTTAATGTTTATTCATTTTTGAGACAGGGAGAGACAGAGCATGAACAGGGGAGGAGCAGAGAGAGAGAGAGAGACACAGAATCTGAAACAGGCTCCAGGCTCTGAGCTGTCAGCACAGAGCCCAACATGGGGCTCAAACTCACGGACCGTGAGATCATGACCTGAGCTGAAGTCGGACGCTTAACTGACCAAGCCACCCAGGCGCCCCTTGTCCATTATTCTTTAATATGGTATATTACATTAATTAATTTGGGGGGCACCTGGATGGCTCAGTCAGTTAAACATCTGAATGTTGATTTAGGCTCAGATCATGATCTCGGCTCAGGTCATGGTCTCGCAGTTCATGAGATGGAGCCCTGTGTTGGACTCTGTGCTGACAGCACAGAGCCTGCTTGGGATTCACTCTCTCTCCCTCTTTCTCTGCCCCTCCCCAGCTCTCACATGCACACACTCTCAGAATAAATGTATAAACTTTAATTAATTTTTATATGTTAAACCAACCTTGAGTACCTGAGATTATCCTACTTGGTTATGGCATTTATGAGTTTTAATGAGTGTGGATGTAAATTGAACTTCATCACAATTGCAAGCAGATCCATATGACAGAAGGATAATAGGTGATTTCCCTTCCCCAATGCATGTGATTTCAATATTATCTTGATTAACACTGATTTCTTGAAAGTATATTAACTGTTAATCACTGATGGTGAAGCATTTCCTATATATGTTCCCATAGCCCAATTCATACCTTCTGTACTCTAATTCATACAACCTGTAGTTATATGATAGCCACCTAAAGATTTCAAGTCTTAATCCCTGAAATTTGTAAATGTTCCCTTGTTTAGAAAAAGAGTCTTCATAGATGCAATTAAGTTAAGGATAGTGAGTGAAGAGGTTACCCTGGATTATCTGGTTAGACCTAAATGCCTTCAGATAAAATGAGTCATTAAGAGAAAGAGACACACGAAGGAGAGACACATCAAAAAGAAGAAGGCAATGTGACAGGGCCTCAAGGCATGGAATGCTAGCAGCCACAAGACTGGAAGAGACCAAGAATGGATTCTCCTGTAGAGCTGCCCGAGGGGGTGCAGCTCTGCCACCATCTTTGAATTTGGACGTCTAGCCTCCAGGCCTATGAGGAAATAAATTCTCTTGTTTTAAGCCTCCTATTTGTACTAATTTATTACCAAAGTCACAGGAAATCAGTATACACCTCTAACAATTATGTTTGATATTTTTTTTCTGTACTAGACTGTGAACTCCACAAAGACCTTGATCATCTGTCTCATACACATTGGTAATTTTAGTGCCTAGTAGAAGGCTTGGCAATGTATTTGGTCTTTCTGGGATAATTGTTGAAGGAGCGAATAAGTAGGCTGTGATTCCTATGTCACTCATATTTTATTAACTGTATACAGTCACTATGTTTCTGATTATCCAGCAAAGGAAACGAGAGGAAACTGTAAGTTTTATGAGTTGGAGAAAAGACAAAATTTTATGTGTGTTTTTGCTGGTGGGAAGAGCTAAAATTTGGATATCTAGCCTAGGAACAGTGGATGTTCTCTGAGGAGTGGGTGTAGGTTGGAGTGATTGGGGGATGGGCATCTGAAATGGTGCTTCCCAGGCACTGTACTCTAAGCTACCTCAGTTTTTCGGGGTAGTTACGGCCATGCTTCATGCGGTTTCTCTGTACTTTCACTACATATGCTGGTCTTGTATAACAAGACAATAAGGGATTATCCATGAGACCCAGTATAGAAGAAAAGATGGCTTAAGATGTTAAAGGAGAGAAGTGAGAAAGATATAAACCTAATGAGGAATCACCTGCATTCTAGGTAACTGCGGAGGAGTGCTTCAAATTTAACAGAGGTGAAATACACAATCCACATATATTTGAATATATATGTATTTGAATATATATGTAGTTATTTAAATATATATGTATAGTTATTTAAATATGCCATTTGACTCATTGACTGCATAATAATTTAGCTCAGATTAATCACTCTCTTATGCTGTATACCGACATTAATGCCTACATCATGTTATTTCAGATTATGCCTCGGGGTCCACATAAGAACATTGTGTGTGTATGCACGTGTGTGCATGTCTGTGTTTGCAAATAGGAAACGCTTTCATATAAGATTAAATGTCTTTCTTGTCTAATTCCTAATTTCTTATTCTTTTCTTATGAATTTCTTATTTCTCATCATTTATGGGAGCTTTTTGCTACACTTTGTACCACCATGGCTTTTACCCTGTGTGAATTCCCACTCACATCAAATTCTGTTTCTTCTGAGAAGCTACCTCAGTCGGAGGTGATATCTTTATTCTTTCAACTCCTATAGTATGTTGTTTACATTTTTATCCCAATCATTAAAATGACAAGAGCTGCTATTTGTCAAGTGTTCACTATTTGCCAACCAATTGGGTCACATCCTTTTCCTATGTTATTTCATTTGATTACAATTCTGTGAAGCAGCCTCTACTATCTCTGTTTTCCAATTGAGAAAACTGAAATTTGAGAAGAGTGAAATTTAGGGGAATTTCAGTGATTTGCACAAAACATACAATTTCTGAGTGGAGGGTCCAAAGTTCACACCTGGACTATCTCTAGAGCTTCCATTTTTAACTTGAACACTTATTGCCCCTTAGTCTAATCTTAAATTACATGGTGTTTAAGGTTAGGGATTCCATATTATTTCTTTTATTTCTCTAATAACAGCTTCCAGTACCTAGCAACCCAATAAAATTGATTGGATGAATGAATCAATATTTAGAATGAAATTATTATAGTAAAAATTACTAAGCCTTAAAATATGTTTTAGAATAATTTAAGAATGTTATGCTGATGGCAACAAATAAGTCATTATAAAACTTAAAAGATGTTATTTATGGGTAAGCATAATCATTATGCCAAATATCTTTTTTCATATTTCTTAAAGTTCTATATGTAAATGTGTGAAATTATGCAATATTCACTCACAAGTTTTTAAAGTTTCCTATCAGATGATTTGGCTCAGTTTATCAAAATGTTTTTGTTTAATTACCTCTTTGTGGTGAATATATATTTCTTTATTAATTTTGTGTCTTTTATTTATTTATTTATTTATTTATTTATTTATTTATTTATTTATTTATTTTTTGGTTTTGTTTCCAGGATGGTGTAGGGGTAGATGAGAAGCTGTCTTTGCGGCGGGTAGCTGTGGTTGAAGATTTCTTTGACATTATCTATTCGATGCATGTGGAAACAGGGCCAAATGGAGAACAAATTCGGAAACATGCTGGACAAAAGAGAACTTACAAAGCAGTAAGTTAAAAAAAAAAAAAGACAAAATAGAAAGGCATGCATTTTGGAATTTGATATTATGTATGTTTGTTGAAAATGGTTTAAATATTTATAAATAGTCTATCTTTAATATAAATTAGACCATATCATGGTCACACCCAACATGTAAACTATTGTTATTACTGATTCTGTTTTGGTCGTATATGCACTAAGTCTGTTGCATATAATTTAAATCTGTCTCTAGCACTCTCATTTTGTTTTCTTTAAATATACATAAAATGTGGTAGTCCCAGTCAAATGCCCACAAATGGAAAGATATATTTGTGTTACATATTCAATACATAATATATATTCAGATCATAAATATATGATATATGGACTGGGTCATATGAACTTTTGTACTACCACTATAGTCTTAACATTCCTTCCTTTCAAATCATATTGTGTATTATAAGTATTTCCATTTAATACTTATATTCACATGGATAAGAAAATTTGATGTACTTTTCTTGTGTCACCTTATATTAAATACATTTGTCCTGAAGAGTATGTATTTCTTCATTTTCCAGAGTAGAGGATTAAAATATATGTGTTGTTTTCATAGATCCAATGCCCTTGAACATTTTAAAATGAAAATAGACAATTATGTATATCGTAAATTATGTGGAAAATAGATTTAATTAATTGTTAGATATTGAAATATTTTCAAAATGGAGTTATATATTATTTCTAAAGTTTCTAATTATATATACAGTTTGACCTAGACATTTTAATCTAGCTTTTATTTAATCAAACATTTTATGAAATCATCTTATAGATATTTTGTCCTTTCTGGGAAAATTGAACAGTAAATTATTCTTTTCCAATTTGAGCAAAGTATACATCAGAAGTGTTTTATCAGCAATCAAAAATAATATCCTTTTTTAGAATTCTTATTGAACTTTGCTTTTGGCTACCTTTTTATTGACTGTTTTCAGCTATATTGATACACAATATCAGTCTGGATCCATTTTTTTTTCAGATACAGAAAAATGTGTGAAATGCTCAAAGTTTCAAATACAGGTACATATGTTTGAAAATTAGCTACTGAGCATAAGATATAGCTTCTTTTCCATAACTATTTTTTGCTATATTTCCAGGGTCATATTGAATCTTTGTAGTTGCATAATAACCCCTAATACATGTTGTATTTATCTCTCCTTCTCTATGGTTTTGTTTCTTGGCTGTTTCCAAATTGCATGGTTTGTGGGCAGGCACTATTGTAAGTTTCCTTACATAATTCTGCCACATAAACTTTCTTTTGACTTACATATCCTAGGAGACATTCTTATCATGACTAATGGCAATGGCCTAGCTTCTTAAAATATTTTTATGTAGACTAATATTACTGAACATACTCATTTTGCTTGTCTCCTAAGCCAGGGTTTTATCTTTGGATATTGGATATTAACAGGAAAAAATATACATCGATCTACTAATATCACTAACTGTGTACCCTTAAGATAATGCATTTTCATGAAATAGCTACTTGAACTTGATAGAACTTCGTATGGTAGGAATGCATAAGTTCAGTTGTGAAATGGAAACAAACGTGTCAACAAAAAAGTGGCTTCATTGTCAGTAGTAGTGTGGCAGCCAAATCTGTTTAGGTGCCAAAAGCAATTTAATATGATTTAATCTTTGAAGTGTATTTATTAGACACCTTTAATCGAAACGGAAACATGATGTAGACCCAACTCTCACCGTTTTCTTAGATGAAATGTAGGGAATGTGATCCCTTGCCATGATTCTTGCTAGACACTTCCAATAAATTGGTAAACATGTTTCCAACATGTATTATTTTGCATTAACATTATGAAGATATTGTATGCATTTTGGGGTGGAAATACCAACTTTGGACATATAAGTAGCACTGAAACGTCATCCATTCCCTCTTGAGAACATCCTATTTGAAGATCCTTTCCCAAGTTTATTTTTAATTTCCACATCTAAGATATTTTCACCCTTCACTAATATCATGAAGATTCTTTTTGGCATAATCTTTTACCTCCTGCTTTCTCTTAATTGAATCCTAATTAGGAAAGATTTCCATTTTATAGAGTAATAATACATCATAGAACAAAAAGAACCACTGCAATGCCAGCAAAACCGTGCATATCACTCTATAATAAATTAAGTCTAATGTTAAAATTTAATATAAATGTTCAACTAACAGGGCATAAAACTAAATGCAATTTGAAATGGAATGGTTTAGTGGTACTAGGGCCCTACACTGTTGGGTCAGTGTTTAATTCTCAAGACTAATGCTAGAATTGGCTAGTCATTGGTAGAATTAGCTAGATACCAATTGCAATTACAATGGTTCCCATTAAGATTTTTTTCTACTTCTAACACATTAGTCATAGCGCATGCATGATTATGTTTATTGACCTTTTTTCTCCCTTTTGCTACATGGCCAAGAAATCATACTTATACAACTAATCATTAAAGCGTTTCATATTGTTTTAATAATATTATCAATAGATTTAGTGATCATTTTATTTACTTTGCCTCTTTTGCAAATCTTTCTATGTTTTCACTCTGCAGGAAATGGTGGTCCTTTAATATTGGATTAACTTTTGAATGCTATTTGTTTTTATCTATCTGCGGTATTGTCATTCCTTGAAATATCTAGGCATTATACAACTTAACTGTTATCACAATCTGACCTGATTATAGATAAAATTGGAGGGTATGTGTCCTACTCATGAGCTCTTTTTAAAAATCCACATAAAATGACACATTTTAGGAATATGTAAAGGCTATCATAATTATTTTGTTCAGTCATTGGGGAATTCTAGTGTCTTTTAGGTCTTTGCTTTTTTTCTGCATTTATCCTTGCATATGTATGAACTATTACTGCTGCATTAAATGTATTTCCTTCCTTATATTTGACTATAGTCAACTCTTGATTATCTGTATGAACAGAATGGAGAGGAGGAATGGCTCGTTCAAATATCACTTACATTTGAATTGAAGATAAATCTTTGTACTGAAAATTGAATGTTAAGTGTGCTTAGTAATTTGGAAGTTTACTCCAAAATTAATGACGTAACATTATAAGAAATAATTGTGAGATGTCTAGTCTTCTAGTACTTAGTTCTTCCCAACTTCTGCCCACACTTTACCTTTGGAAATATGTCACTCGTCTTCAGTTATCTTTTGTTACTTGTGTTTTATCACAGGCTAAGCACAGCTGCCCTTCCAGTAATATTTCTTACGTTAGGGTCCAATTAAAGGGTTAAATTTCAAACTCTTTCTTCTACATGTAAAATAGGAGGAACTGGTAGAAATCTGGGAACTAAGGGGAAAGTTGGTGTTTTCAATAGAGAGAACAGTCTGCATATAAATGTGTACACACACACACACGCACACACACACACAACTTGTAGTGTGATACAGTAAACCTACATGTATTATTCACATACATAGCTGCCAATAATTACATTCATTTAATTCAGAGTGGAGAACATATGCTGTAGCTAAAAAAAAAAAAAAAATAGGCTAGAAGCCAGACAAACTCAGTTTCAGATTTCAAATCTAGCACTTCCTATCTGTATCAGTTTTGGCAAATTATTTACTCTTTTTTCCTCCTCCTGTTTCAAGGGCGTTAACAATATGCATGGTGTGGCGAAATAAATCAGTTCATATGTGTAAAGTGCTTGGTACATGGTAAAGTTTGGAATAATATTATTTATCCTTTATCCAATCACTACTCATGTTCCAGGTAGAAGAATAAGCAGGACGATTCCCATAGATCTGTCATTGCCTTAGTTACAATTATGGATATAATCTCCTCTGCCTGCCCCGATGCCTCTGTGTTGGGAGATAGGAATAGTAATAACTTTTCATGCATTCTTTTATGTCACATTCTAGACATCAGCATCCCTGGAAGTCCACAGTGCAAGTTTTATCTGAGGTTTCACTGGGCAGAAGGGAGGCATGAAAGGAGGCCAGGGTTTCCATGTTTAAAAGGTCTCCTGCTTCATGGAAGTTTATGAGAATTCCATTCTTTTTATTTGCTCTTTCCAAAGTTTGAGTCTGTTAAGTTACTTTCAGATTAATTTTTTGAAAAATTTTAAAACTGGCTCTCTTTAAGGAATGTGTTTTCAATATGAATTGAACATCCATTTGTAGGGATGTACTATAGAAAAATAATGTATCGTGCAGAATGTATTGTGCATTCCTACTCTGAGAATTAAAAAGGTACATCTTTATTCTGTGAGACCTAGAATACTTAACCTTAGCTTTAATTAGCATAATTTTTGTTCTGTTCTTTTTATAAATACCTATTGGTTTGGTGTTTCCACTTCTGAATAGGACATTTTAACTTGCACCAGTTTCTCATGATATGTATGTAAAATTTTCTAGAATTCTTGTCAACTTATGAGACTAATGAGAAAAATTTGTAGCCATTCTGGTGTGAAAAAATACTACTACACTAAAATTTAAGAGTTCTAAACAATTAACCACTTTTTGGCTTAGGCTACAGTTTACTCAGATATGAAATGAGGGGGCTACATTTCAGGTTTTTTCAAACTCAAAGAATAACTCCTGTGTTATTGGTGTGTATGGTGCCGTCACTGTGCTGGAGACATAAGAGATAGTAACCAAAGTGAGTAAATTGGTTTGCACCAGAAATGTCCAAACATAGGGAATGTATCCTGCTGTTACAAAGGCAGATTGGCTGATAAGCATAGAATAGAGCTAAAATATTCCTGCTCCACTCTGATCCAGAAAATTCTTCTATAAATAATCATAATGATGATGATAAGAGCAATAATGAAAAGGATCTATAGTCATTGGACTTCATATTTCCAGGAATTTAAAATAGTAATCAAAGGAGAAAGTCCATAAAATATTATCAGTGTCAGCAAATCTTCACTGCACTCCATTTTTGTTAAAAATTTTGCAGTAATCTGAACCATGTGACGAATGAGCAGCTCCTTAGTTATTATGGGATTTTAAGCTGCTGCACCACA